AGATAAAGCCAAAATTTTACAATAGGTGGTATTAAATCAACAGAATATGGATAACCAATATTAGTGGTTGAACTGATATTGTTGTTAGGCATCTTATCATACCAAGAATAGAAATCTGAAAAATCTTAGTCGATAAAAATGCATTAAATAAAGTGCTATCTTTTTTCTTCTAAAATATTGCGTGCAAAAAAATAAAAATATATAATAAAGAATTATCTGAAGCGTTTGTCTAGTGACAGTTATTTATCACAAATGGAAATGGATGCGTTTATCCAAAAGTTTAATGATATAGAATGAAGCGTGACTTTTTTAAGTTAATATAGTAAAGCCTAGATTCTTTTTTTTTTATAGAAAATCTGGGTTCCAATTTGAAACATGATAAAACTTACTTGATCTTATACTGGTTACATCAATCGATTAACGAATTTATACGTTATTATCAATATATAATTCGTGATGAGAGAAAAATGTTACTAATAATCTAGAACAATTATGTATGACAACTAGACTTCAAGTGATTTGAAAAACAATATATAATGCAAATTTATATTTTATTCATTGATTATAGACATAATTCATAATGTTAAATCTATTAAAGAATGTTGTATAGCAATCATTCGACTGACTTCTTTATTGAAAAGAAGAATTTAAGCGAAAATAATAATAATCAAATGAACTAAATTTCTTGTCATTTCCTAAAACTTTTCTCGAACATTTGTCTCAATACATTTTGCTCACTAATTACTTCTCATGCGTATTTTCATACGTAATATACTAATATTAACTGAATTGTTTTGATAGAAAGTATTCGAATTATCGAGTTGCAATTAATATTTTTTATCACATTCTTCACCTCCTCACCACATCAATTTCATTTTATTGTAGACACTCTGCTAAAATGCATTCCGTCATATCTGCAATATCTTAAAATTTAGTATTATTGCTACTGTCATAGTTAGCTATCAAAATCTCAAGTTTTTAAATAATAGTTTTCTATGAAACTAATTTATTGTGAACCCGATAAATTTTAACGAAGTAAGCAACCATTGAGATTTACCTTTTTCTTTCTTGCTTATTTAAATTTAATTGCCGGAACTTCGAGTAAACGCGTTGTTTCAAAGAAAATAAAAGAAAAAGAATTTAAACATAAAATGTTTAGCGTATGAGCTGCGTTGTTGCAAGCAGGAGCATTTTATGATCATTTACCAAAGTTAAAAGCTATTTTGACTTCGGTAATGTATGAAAAACTTGTCAAAACTAATGATATGTTAACAATTCATTAAACTTGAATTGAAGAATGCAATATTTCATATAAATTGTCCTTTAAGTATGCCAAAAACGAAAAATTAAAAAAGAAATTTTTTTGTTTTTTTCTTTTTCTTTGATATCGTTAGATGAAAGTTGATCAAGTATACGGGCGTTTTCAATTTTTTCAAATGACTTTTTAGGGGAAAAATTCCAGTTTTTTAGGAGGGTCTACATTTTCCGAAAAACAGATCAATTTTTTCATTTCTTTTAAATTTCAAAATGAGTTTTCTGGATTCAGTTTTTCATGCTAAATCTGAAACAAACAGTTTTAAAAATTGAAGAAAACACAAAATATTGATAATTTGTCGGCTACCAAAAATTGACGTTGTGTCAACAAAAAAAAAAGCCAATCATCAGAAAAAACTGGAATTGTTTCCCTAAAAAATCATTTCAAAAAATTGAAAACACACAAATTCTTGATCAACTCGTCATGGTTTATCTAACTATATATAAAGAAGAGAGAAAGAACTAAAGTTATTCTAATTAAAAAAAAAAACTACTAACACAGAATAAACTTTAGTTGATCAGTTACCATCTATAACAAAGTATCGATTAACACTCACTATCTTCTATCGTCTTTATGACCTTATTTTCAAATTGTAGGCAACACTTTTTTAGTTAATAAGACAATTAAAATCCACGTAGAAACTATTAGAAAATGATATTTGATAGTTTTCTCAACTTCTAATTTCATTATCAAAATGCATTAATCTCCTAAAGCATGATGAACCATAAGTTTTCAAATCTCTCACAAAACTTCTTGCACTCAAAAATCGATCTTGGACGAAATACATTCAAATTGCATGAAATTTTCAGGTCTATAACATAACGTTTTCAGGAGATGCTCAACAAACTAATTATAAAAGAGCTTAATTCATAAAACGGGTTCTGACAGGTACTACAATGTCACATGCTTTTTATAAACGAACAAAAAAGCAATTTTCTAAAATGAAGCGTCTCGGAGAATTCTGGGATATACGATCAGACAAACATAAACAGAATACGACCTCAAAATATGCTCGCCTGTATTTCTCTTAATTTCGATAATTTTTACGGAAATAGTCCCTTTTTGATGAGTAGAAGATTTGAACACATTCACTGCTCGATAGATCGTAACTGACATCTTTGAATCTCTTTTTCCTGCGCGTTGTTGCATGTTATAATTTCACCATTTCCTTTTCATGTAGGAAAATGTATTATTAGTAGATAATCATTTATATATAGAGAGAGAGAGAAAGAAAAGATATTTCTGAGATGTCTCATTGAGCATAAAAGCATCATCACACTATTTTCTCTTTTCATTCCATAGAGTTATTTTTAACTAAACATAAAAGAAATTATATTTGTCGAATAGAATTTTTTATATCGGATTGAGCAGTGTTACATTATATATCTTTTAACTATTGTAATATGAATTCAGAACATATCAGCTTCCGTAGATTTTTAACAATATTTTGAAGATTTGTTTTTTAAAATTTACTTTCGTATTAATTTAATGTACTTGGTGACTCAAAAGCCATTTTATCGAAGAAAATAATTGAACATGTCGGTCATCTTTTGATCAAATGAGATAGGTTTTTAATAACTACGAACAAAATATTCATAGCTCAAAATTATAAAGAACACTTTCATAAAACTGCTTTGAAATACTTCAATTAGGAACTATAAAGTTGCATGAGTTATAAAAATAACAAAATACGTAATTATTTCTTTTTGATGAAAATCTTTACGCTATGGTCGTTTGATCTTCTCTTTCTAATATAGACACATACCTTATTACTTAAAGTTTCAACCATAAATACCAAGAACTTATTGAACAGAAAAAACTGGAAACATATCTTATGTACTCTTGTATCAATATAACCAATATTCGTTGTAATGCTTAGCCTGCTAGAATTTCTTATTCAATTTGAATTCTTCAATGATGGTTAATTGTTTATCAACATCCATTACATATGAGAATATCGTTCGGAAACGAACGAATTAAGTATTACAGCGAATTTTGATTACATCTACACAAGACTACATTAAACATATTTGCAGATTTTTTTTTAATAAAGTCTAGCTAGTTTTGGTTGAAAATTTAAGCTTAGACATAATAGTCTGAAGAATTCATCGAAAAAAATAATGTGTCTTGTTATTCTTATAGCTCGTGCAAGATTTTAATTCTTTATTGAAATACTTCAAAGTAGTTTTATTAATGTATTTTTTATAATTTTAAGCTATGAATACTTCTTTCTTATTTATTAATATATGATCTCATGAGATCAAAAGTTGACAGTGGTGCTCAGTCTTGCAGTTTCTAAAACTCGATCGATTTCGCCAAGTATACATTTGCTCGTTGTTGATGACGAACGTCATAAGTTTGGATACATAGATGACATGATCAACTATCGGTCACCCATACATGGGCAGAATTTGAACTTCAAAGTGAAGAAAGCTGAATCGACCATTTAAAGTAGAACGATTAATAGTATTTGAAATAGAAGCTTTTCTATTCGTGAGCAGTATTGAGTAATCTGGACATAGGAAATCTATCTTTGAATGGACAATGCGAAAATTTATATAAAAGATGATAGTGGAATACATTATCAAACAAGGATCGTACAAATGTTAGATGTCTACAAACCAAAATAATGCGTTCAACAACTATTTCTATTTTTTGATGAGATTCTGTAACAAAACTCGCTTATATTGCTAATTTTTGAGCACAGGCTGATTTAATATTCGTCTTTGTTTTCTAGAAATATTGCATTACGGAATTTTATTAATATCTGAATTTTGTGATATTTTTAGATCATTAAACGTTTTGCATTGTTTTTGTTCATAATTTTGCACAGATTTGAAATTAGTATCGAATTCTGAACAAAATGAAGTAGTTAGTTAATAAAAAAAAAGAACTTCAACTTTTATTTTTTTCCGATCGAAGAATTGTTTTTCGTTGGATTCTATTGAAAAATATAACATGTGATGTAGAACCGGATGCTGGTGATGAACATCTGGTCGTTTTTAGCTTTTTTGTTTCCATCTTGGTTCAAACCGATTTTCAGAAAAAGAATGAAATTCCGTAACGCTTGATCATGCCGTATATAAATGCTTTTTCCATCACGATAATACATTTTCCTCTGTATGTATTCAGTTACTGCTTCTATTTTAAATTAGAAGTTTGAAAAAGTAAAAATATTTTCAAACATCGAAATCTCACTAATTGCCGAGTAAGATCCGAGTATGAGATCATATGCGGAATCTGAACCGGCACTTGTTTTCATGTTCGGTATCCAAACTTATGCTCTGCGTTGGGTATCCGATCCAAGTATTCAACTAAAATTCATTTCATACTAGCTTAATCCATCAATACATACAATCATTTATAGTTGTCATAATTTATTCTCACTATTTTAAGCAATACCGACTAATGCATAAGCTCTATTTGTCAAAAAACAAAACATGTGATATAAACAAAAGTTAATGAAATGAACCTGAGAAGAATAACTTGTTTTACAAAAACAAAACAAAAAAAAACTAATCTTTTAAATATCGGAATACGAAGAATAATTACAAAATAATAATAGTGCTTATTTAGTTCCAGTCGTTCGTTTTGTTGGTGAAATTTTTCGATTAGAACCTTGAGAACGTTTACTTCCTCCACTTGATGTTGACATTGTTTGAGAATTTGGTGGTGGTAAAAATATTGATCGTATACTTGGATCAGCAATACCAATACGATAAGGATTATGTAATGATTGTGACTGAGAATTACCACTTGTTATTTGAATATCTGATGAAGTCCATATAACTTTTTTCGGTGAACTATTCGACCGTCCTGGAGTATCGTCATCACTTAAAGCAATAATTTCATCATCACTATCATCAATAATTTGACTATTATCATCTTCCGTATTTTGTTGTTGAGATGATGATGGTACAGCTGATGTCTATAGAAAAATGATATAAAGTTTATTTTATTCATTTTCTTTATAATGGATGAATTCTTGAACGTCGTTTAACATGAATACGTGGTCGTTGATCATCAAATATATGTTGTTCAAGTGATGTATATGTTGGTGAACGACGTAATGCTTCAAGAATTTCATCATGAAGATTTTCTTCATCACCATTTGTTAATTGATTATCTATTACTAATGCATCACATATATCATGAATAAGACCAAGTTCACGATCTAATTTACGTTTATAATCATCTAAATCATCATGAATTTGATCGATTGTTTCACGTGTATTAGTATTATGTATTTGTAAAGCTTTACATGATTGTTTCATAATATTACTTTTTAAATCACGTCCCCATTTTATAATTAAATCAAGTTTAGACCGTAAAGTTTTTTGTTCATTTGTATAACCACGAAAAGAACCTGGACTTCGACCAGGTGTACTTGTCATTATTAGAAAAGAAAAAAAAAACACCAAAAATTCTATATGATGAATGATTAAACTGAATAAATTATTGAACTAGAACGAAAGAAAGAGATTAATAAATCAGCCAATCAGAAACGATTACAAAACCTTTATAGGGAAGAATAAATTGTCAAAGTGCATGATAAATTTAATCTCAAATAACAATTTTTGCTAAACATAAAATCGATAAAAGGAAAAACAAATTATTGAAGTTTTTTAAAAATAGATTTCATATGACAGTCATCTGTTGTTGAGCGACATCTAATGAAAATTTGCCATCATGAGAAAACCTCTCCAGATATCAAATTGCTTTCAGACCGAGAGGACGTTTGTTTGATGAGTGCTAAAGAGTAATAGAAAAATCTGGACCTTCGTTCTTGAGATATCGATGTTTTACCAGGTTTTGTCAACAAAAAAACTGTGGTCTTCTCAGGTCACGAAAAAGTTTTAACCTCAAACTTTGTACGAACAAAGTTCTTAATGAGATTAGTTCATTGAACAAGTTGTAACTTTTCTAGTATCTCCTATCGTGAAATATTCAATATTCCAAATTCTCTCATATGTAAAAGTAAATTGATATCTTCGTAAAGAAAATGCAAGAAAAGCTAAAACTTAAACAATGTACTAATCTCATTGAGAATTCTATTCTTGCAAAGTTTGAAATCGAAACTTTTCACATGACCAGAAGGTAACCACGATGTTTTGTGTAAAAATTTACTATAATTTCGATATCCCAAGAATAAAGGCCTGGAAAATCAAACCATTTTAGATTTTTCTATTACTCTCTAGCATTCATCAAATGAACATCGTTTCGACCGAGAAGCGATGTGAAATCTGCAGAGGTTCTGTCGTCAATAGGATAAGTTTGAGGAGAAAGGAAGCATAGCTTATCAGATGATGTTTTCTAAAAATTAAATCTTATCTAATATTTTTTTTTTGACTTTCCAAGACAAAAAGTCATCATTAAATATTTCAAACATAGTTAGACGTTTAAAATACACGTCAAATGCTTATATTTGATTAATGAATAGTTAAAAATTGAGGCAATGATCGATTATACTTTATTAGTATGTATTTATTCTAATCAAAGGTGACCTTGATGTTTTGTTGTCGATTAAGAGTAGAAGAGATGACATTGGAATATCTTTTAAACGATGTTCTTTGTGAGAATTTGCAGCTGAAATAATAATAATAATAATAACAAATGTTTAAAATTTATTAGGAAAATTCTGTCATTTTCGAATCTATATTGATATCCATCGACATGCAACTCTTCCATTATAGTTCAATATTATTCTTCGAAATCAGTTATTTTTAACAAGGAGTTCCGAAGAGTTAGTTCATGACGAGACATCAGGGTTGATTTGACCATGTCTTGTTCGTTAACAATTTTATTCAATTTATCTATCGATTGTGATACTGAACGAATTGTTTTGGTCATTGGAAAGCAATATCAGAAATTTTAATTAGAAAAGAACGATGTCTCTCTACTGACACCATTCATAAAGCAAAGATATCATGCATCAAAATTTCACGGACATATTACTTTTTTTTTCTAATTGTGCTATTTAAACGCACATTAAATATTCACATACAATTCTATTATAATAATTGAAAGCGGTTAGTGCAATCCCTCTGGGTTTAAAAATGTGAAGCACGATATAGATATTGTTGATAATCACAAGGAGATTGTTTTATTCAATCTATTTTAAGATACATTTTCACAGTATTCTTTTACATAATTTTTGAGAAATCCAATAAGGAAGTAGTTCTTCTGTTATATCGAGATGTTATTGATATAAGTATATCAACAATGTTTGCACGATCTGCGGGGGAGTTCAAATTGTTTCCCCTTTACTTCAAGGCTCCTTTTAGATCGTGTCACAGTAGGAAATCTCTATAGAGCACTTAGACATGACTTATTTTCTATTGAAAATACATTTTTTTTTATAGATATATTAATTTTCAGTACTCAACAAAAAAATGATATTTCGTAAAAGAACATTTTCATTGGAAAATATATTAAAGGATTCTCATCCACATACGTTCACTGATACCTATAGAATTCAAGTCGTACTCTCAATAGCCCTAATAAGGAAAAATCCTGATGTTTCACAAATCGATTTTTCGTTTATTATCATCTACTTCTTCGGTATCCAACAGAGAGTTTTAGTATGTTTTAGACGATTGTCTATCAAAGATTGATTTTGCAATAGAATAATCATTGATTCTGTCACCATCTAAAACAATCTAATAATAAATTCCGCTACTGCCTTGCCTTATCAAGGATCTAGCATAAAAACGTATGTTTTATTATGCATTTTTTTAAGCATATGTAACGATTATTATTTCTTTTATTACATTAGATCAAATAAAGTATATTTAATAAATGTAAATAGATTCAAAAAAACAAAAAAATATATAATGAGACCGAAAATGAATGACTATCATTTATTTCTTTTTCTTTTACTGAATGCATAAGTAATGTGTTGTTTACTTTTTATGGATTTATCTGGAGTTGACCTTCAAACCATCAGCACTAAATTGTCGTTCGACATTAGCTTTAGCTACACTGGAATTGAATAAAGTGATCGAGCAAGTTTTAATAAGATAGGATAAATGAGTCGTCAAATCTCATACTTGCTTCGTCCTTCGACGCTATACAACATGATAAACACTTTCAAATTCTATCAAAATATACAATCGTTTTTTTTTTTATTAATAAAAAGATATTTCTATAATGGTGAGAAATTTGAAACTAGTGACAAAGTCCAATTCGTTGGAATCTAATACTAATGAAGATATCTTTATTGCATTCGATTTATTACCTATCATATAATTGTAAACTAATAAAATAAATCTACAAAGCAATAATAATACTCCAAGCATTTTCAGAATATGTCATTGTTTTTTGTAAAACTATATTTTTATAGTGACAATCTAATTAAAATACAAATTGTAATTCTTTATTTCTGTTCTCTAATGTCTATCGTTTAATTATTTTAAAGACTTTTTTCTTTTCATTTTGAATAAAATGAGCTATAGCCATTCATTTGTTTGTTTCAAGTATATATGTTTATGTAAAAAAAGAAAATGTTCTTTATGATCATATATGTTCAGACAATCGAATATCATCATCGCACGAGAGAAGAAAAAAGTTCAGATAACAAAAAGAAAAACCATCAGAAGACATTAATTTACCAATATCATTTTGCAAAGAACGACAAGATAAAGGCAAATCAATAATAGTAATAACAGCAGAAAACAAAAAAAAACAACAAAAGAAAAAAAAAAAGACAGATCTTCATCGATTCGGCAATGATTCTTTTACATTGTGTTTTTTTTTTATAAAGCTTTGATTTTTCTTCATTTGTATTTTCTTTTTTTTTTACATAAAAGAACAAAACAAGGTATACACACACATACACACAAAGCATAATATAGCACCACACATGATTTGTTTTCTGTTTTTCTTTGTTTTTTGTTTTTTTTTTGATCGATGATAAAGAATAAATGCAACATCACACATGTATGAATAAATGAAAAGAAGAAAACATTGCACAACTTGAGCAATTAGAAAGAAAAGGTTTATAAGTTTTTTTTTTGTTTGTTTGTTTTTTTGAATATGTTTTGATTATCAGTACGCATCGATTACAGAAAACAAAGTTTTCACTGTGTGCAACGAAGAAAAAGGAAGCACGTTTATATATATATATATATATACATGAGATAAAGAAGAACGACAGCTTTTCAAATAACAGAGGAAGAAGAAAAAAAAAAACAAACAATCGATGTATGTAGATACTAGTACTGTTCGATAAAGAGAGAGAGAGAAAAAAATATGATATGGCATCAATGGGCTAATAAGGTGTATAGCGAACATTGTTACGCATACCCTATAAAACAAAATCTATCATCTTGTAAAAAATTTTATTCATTTAAAAATTAACTTACGGTAATAGGACCGATAGTTCCAGCTGGTGTTGCAGTTATATATGCTGTTTCTTGATAAGCATGTCTACAAGAATTTTCATGTAAAAAAAAAAAGAAAGTAATTATTAATACGCATTAAGCCAAGAGAATCTCAGCAGATAATAAGAATGACATTGACTGGACATGCAACTCATGCATCATGCTCGGCTAAACAATTTTTGTTGTTTTTTTTTTCTTTTATGAACAGAGTGCTTATATCGAGTCTGATTTGTGTAGGAGAAAAAGAATGGAGCATACCAACGGAGTAAAATTAGAAGAAAAGATAGGTCCAAATGCTGGTAATGATGTTCCATCTGCTGCTGCTGAGGGAGATAATGGACTAAGAACGAAGGATAAGATTCTCACACAAACACAAATACACACAAAATATCATATTAATAAATTAAACATAATATATCTTACCCAAATTGAGTAGTTGGTGAAGTTATATTCGTTGTTGGTGCTCCATTTATAAAATATCCAGTTGGTGCACTAACACCATTATGCATTGGTAAAACACTAAAATAATAATCAGTTAACAAATCTTTTTTTTTTCTGTTTATTTTCTAATTCAAATTACCCAAATGTATAAGTTCCAGTTGGTTGTCCAGTCGTTGTAAGACCATGTGGTGTAGTTGTTGTTATATAACGAACACCTGGTTGTGGTTGAGCAGTAGCAGCTATTTGATAAGTTGTTAAACCACTTAAAGTAGTTAATTGATCAGGATAAATTCTTCAAAAAAACAAAAATTTTTATTTGTTTGAATGGCTTCAATAAATGAAGATCTTTAAATTTTATGATTACATAAAAAAGCTATTAGCTATGCAATTTTACACAACTTACGTATATCCACCGGGTAAAGCTAGACCGGTAGTAAATGCTGCTGCTGCTGTACGTAATCCTGTAGTTTGTGTAGCTGGGATTAATGTCGGACGTTGTCGTGTATTAATCATTACACCTAAAGAAAATAATATTTCCTTTTTTCTAAATAAATCATTTCAACTAACTATAT